GTAATGAAAAACCCCCACCAACTTTCCAGAAGCCATCTTCAATGCTCACCTAACTCTGCCAGGGGATATGATGTGGTGTATAAGATACAACTGACTTAGGTTTTGTTAGTCTCAAAGCTAAATCTGAATTTAACCTATGCAGCCCAAAAGCCTGTGTTCTGGTACAGGATCTGCTTCCTGAGCAGTCCTGGGAAGTTAGACTGATCAGAGAAGCTGACCTATGGTGCTTTGTTGTGTTGGTGTCCATCTGATTTAATACAAATACAATTGAGTCTTCTTCTTTTCTAATGAATTTGTTCTTGTTGTGAAGTCCCTTCCAAAGGACATAAAGTATTGCTAAGCATTTAAAATCTCTCTACTGCCTCCCTCTTCTCTGTGGATTCCTGTCCTGCCTCCCAGTAACACCATCACGAGTCATGTAAGACTTCCCTAGTGTCTCTTGAGATCAACGTAACAGTCCTGCTGTGTTTGGCAGTACTGCAGTTCTTCCCTTGGCATCAGTACTGTACAAGACTTGAAGACCTTAGCGATGTGTATGTCACCTGTCTGAAGTTCAGCTCCTCTTCTGTGAGAAGAGTATATAAATGGTGATGTGATGAAAGCAAACAAGTACAAGACGTTACATGGCATGGGAGCACCTAGAGTATGTTGACCTTGAGGGCTTTCAGAAAGGCTTTATAAATTATTCTCTGTGGCTTGACTGCCATGAAATCCCAGTACTGCAGTGCTGGGTATTGGCATTTAATTTCTAATTGATTCAGAAGTAAAAAAACCCCAATCAAAACAACAGAGTTCTAAGTGAAGTCAAAAAACCCACAACCTTTTTTCTCTAATGTTGAAACACTTCTTTGCACTAAAAAAGACAGAGAAGAAATGTTTCAGCCTTTCCAAAACAGGATTTTTAAAGCTTTTTGTTCTGAGAAATGTTTTGATTGTTTTGATCTATTTGAACACAAACACATTTTGAGACTTATTTTCCTTTGAGTGAATGTCGGGTGTTGCATTCAGCTTTTTCTAGTGGGTTAGCTTATCAGACCGAGGCTGAAGAGAAAGAAACCCTGTTGGTTGTCTCAGCTGGTTTTGTAGAAAAAGACCATGAAAATCCTGTGTATCACTGAAGAAGAAAAATGGAGTTGAGAAGAAAAAAGTGTGGAGGGGGCAGAGGGTAATGAAACTCACCTGTGAGGGCAGCTGCAAAAGCCAACAGCAATGAGGGAGAAAAACTAAGCACTTCTTTCCCTGGAGCTTCTTGTTTCTCTGACCTTCACAACACAAATCTCTCCATTAGAATAAAATACCAACTGTCCTGCTTGCGGTTACAGCGTCCTACTGGCTTCTTGCAGGAGGGTCAGAAAGCAGAGGAGGAAAGGAAGGAAGGAAGGAACACAGCAGTGTCCTTAGCTTATTTCCCTCCTTGGGAAAGACAATGCAATCACCACAAACTGGAATCACAGGGTGCAGCCATTTGGCTGGTGGGAAGCATGGTGGGGTGAGAGGTGAGTGGTGAGTGGAGAGACGTGCAAAAGAATGATCATGTGCACATGATGTCTCAGCTGCAGGGTGCCATCAGATACGCCTGTCTGGCACTGCACTAGAGATGGGAGCTCACAAAGAGTTGTGTGCGTCAGTGGCTGGTGTTTGAGATGCATTGCACAGGGCTCCATCTTCCCAGTTCAGTCACTGAATGGCTCTACCACAGCAGGTTCCTCCCTTTTGCTGCCATGACCAGCCACACCAGAGGGCTGCCTTTTTCCCCATGCTGTAAGTGCTTTGTAGACAAGGTATTTCTATTGCTGGTTAAGCAGGTTTGAGGTACCCAAGATCTGAAGTGGCGCAACGTATACCCTAGGAATGGTTTGGAGATAGCAATAGGGAGATAGACTGAGGGACTGTCAAAAGCTGATATATTTTATGTGCAGCTAGGAGTGCCAGCCACTGGGGAGCATTTTCGGCCTGGTGTACTCTTACTTTTCAGCTGATGATAAAGAAGGAAGAGGAGACAGGACTCCAAAATATTGCTTTCTCTGTTGTCAGTGAGAAAAAGCAGAGATTGAGGCTGATCCCAAGAACGTTAAGTGGTGCTTCTGCTATTTGTCATTCAGGAATCTAACCCAAAAGCTTTGCCTGTATCTCATCACCCTTATATGGGTATATCCCATCATAACATCATCTCTCATTATGTATAGTCACATTCTAAGCACTCCTGCAACACATTCCAGCTCCCAGAAACACCTGTAGACGTCCTTCCTATCTTGTAACTTGTGGCTTTCAGCACTGACTATGCCAGATGGTTTGAGGTGGATGAAGATTCTTCCTTAGTGTGTGCTGGTGATACACATTCCCCTTGAGTCTCTCCCCATTCCAGACTTGCCCTGTCCATTGGAAAACATGATGGAGGGTCAGTGGATACATGGCGGCTGCCTCCAGCCAGCAGCTGTCTGGGCCCTGCTTGGGGTGTGGAGAGGCAAGGATGGCACCCGTCAGCAAAGTGTTGCTGCCACAGGCAGGCACTAGCTGCAGCACCAGTACAAGGAAATGTGTTTTAGGTGAAATATAATTAACCTAGATACAGATCTTGATGCCACACGGCAGTGCTGAAGCCAAGAGCTTAACAGGACTTTTACAAGAAGGAGACAATTATGTGGATAATGAAGATAGCTGATGGTTAAAAGAGTCAGGAAACCTCTCTCCTTTGCTGTTTCTTTTGTTTTTTTTTTTCAAATGAGTGCCATGTCCACTTTATCTGTAATGGCTTGAATCAACTGTGAACTGTCACTACCAGGGGAAAAAAGCTACTTTGATGGACAAGTCATTACATAGTGAATTGCTGCATCTTGAAGTATCTGCTTGTCCAGGAGGGGCAAGCTGACCACGGGCAGAAATGTCTGGGTTTCGTTTTAGTTTCCAAAACCTGTTAGAGGCCCTAGACCTCACTGGGAAAGGTATTGATAGCGGGGCCATGGGAAGGGAGAGCAGCAGTGAGGGAGGGCTGGCGTTGAGGGAGAGAGCATGTGCACGGGTTTGCTTGTAATTAGGAGATTTAAACTTTGAAAGAAGTTAATTAATAATGAAACTTGTGACTGAATGATGCAGATTGTGAGGACTGGCTTTGTCAGCAGCTGCAATTAATTACAGGCTCAGGCACAGGGAAAAGGAGGGGGTGAAGGATGTGGGGAGGAGGGAGGCATCACCAGAGGGAAGATGATAAACCTGGCTGCAGGCTGTTGCTGTGGTGACAGGAGGCAGTTGCTGTGGTTGACAGCAGTGACACGCTGAAGGCAGCAGGTACTTCTAATTACCCCTTCCACCGACCCAGGCAGGCAGCAACCCCTCCTGACTCAGGGCAGGAGATGCTTCAGATTTCTCCTTGCTCTTTCTTCCTCTCTGCTGCAGGTTTGATGTGCCTTTTCAGGGTCCCCACCTGCTCTGAAAAGAAAACCCTGAGGCGGCAGATTTTCCTAATGTCACTTTAATAGCCCAGGAGCAGCCAGCAATTCAGTAGCATCCTCAGAAAGCCTGGACAATGCTGGCAAACTTTCAGAGAGCTGGTATCCAAATGGAAGGGGAGGAGAAATTGAGTGCAGCCAGCCACAGCCTTTTGAGCAAGAAGATGAGGGCCTTGCACGTCTGGACTAAGCTGCAGCATTTTTGGGAGCACTTGCTGTGGCTGCCCAGGTCTTAGGCTTTGGGGTCTTGCCAGCAGCTCAAAGGTACCCTGCCATGATCTGTGTGGCCTAGGTGGAGGGGAAGTGTGCTGCAAGGCAAGAGGAGCAAAGGGAGCATGGGAGCATCCTGACCACTGACAAATTGCTTCTTCCTAAGCATGCACGCAAAAGTGTTGATCTGTATAAAACAAACTTCTGACTTTGAGTCCCTGTTGTGGTTTCATTCCCTTTGCTTGAATTCCCCGAGTTTGGCTGCACTAGTTTTACATCACTGCTTTGCAATGCAAATGCTGGAAAGATATCACAGATACATGCCCACTTTTAGAGCTCAAATATTGTAAATGAGTTCTTGGATAAGTGTGTATGGGTTCTTGACACTCCTTCAGGAGGAGAAGGATGGTGAAGAGGAGGCAGGTAGAGGGTGTGGAGAACACAGAGAAGGTCACACAAAATACACCGTTTTTATTCTTTTCTGTAATGTATAAATGACTTGGCACTTGATGAAATTAAAAGGCAACAAATTAAAAATAAATAGGAGGAAACAATTTTTAATGTAAAGTATAATTAGCCAGTATAGCTCAGGGCTGCCAACTATTTATGAAACAGATATTTTAGTAAGATTATCAACAAAGGATTCAAATGAATAAGCAAAATATCTGCAGGAATACTAGTATAGCTGAGAAAACAATTATAAGGGTTATCAATCCTTCTGCTTTAGGGCATAAATAGATCACCAGCTGGGGTCAGAAATGCAATTTCCCCCTATGGTTACCAAATAACTTAATTAGGCATATTGTGGAGTTTTATTCAGCATAAGCCACTGCTGGAAGCAGAATAACAGATTAGATGGACCATCAACCTGTTCCAATATGGCAACTCTATCTCCGAGCTCCTCTCAGAAAGGGGAAGAGGAAGGCTTCTAGCTTTGTGTTATTGGGAAGGGGGTCCCAGAAGGGCACTAATCACTAGGCTCACAGAGAGATCTGGCTGTGCATTTTGGTTTAGATCCATAGATTCTAGAGAACTCTGCTACATTTGAGTATGGGCCACCACGAAAAGTCTCTTCCATGTATTTGGGAGATTCAGTAAACCAACGAGGGAACGAACTCAGCAAGCCAACAGGAGAGGAGTGAGCGTGTGTTTAATTATGGCAATGACTTGGCTTTTATGAATACCTTAGACTTTTGTGCTACCTCTGCTTTCTCCTTTTGAAAAGAGTTTTGGCTTAATGAAGGAGTGGAGTAATAAGGAACTGAGAGGAGGAAAACATAAGAATGTAAAAAGTCAGCCTGCCAGAAGTTATTTACCTTAATCTTCCTATTTTGTCACCCCAAGCCTAGCGCAAGCTTACCTCAGCCATGATGCTTTCACAGAAGTTTTCCTTGACTCTTTTCCACCTGGTTTGAATGCGTCAGCATGATGGTGATTTTGTTAAACTGCGTTACCCTGGGGATGTACCAGCCGTGTGAGGATATGGACTGCCTTTCTGACAGGTGCAAAATCTTGCAGGTAAGCAGACTTCCTTCTTCTTGTGGTGGGGCTTCAGTCCAAGTCACAAAATTTCGCACGTTTTCCTTTGTTGTGTGAGCAGCACTTTCCCAGACAGGCTGGCAAGAACGTCCCTGGCAGTAAGCTATCCTGTTGTAAAATAGTAAGAACTTGCTCTGAGGAGGGAAATGCTAACAAATGAAGTCTACTTGCGACCATGCAATACAGAACAGTTGCTGGCTTCCTGATCCTATGCATAAGCAGGGGTTTCTTAATGTAGACAGCTGTAAGATACATAGTTCAGAGGTAAGCCAGGGATAAATAATTAAGGTTATGGCATCCAGGCAGGAGACAATAGCAGCTCCTAATGCATTCACTACTCTGTTGAGTAGCAAGGGTATCGCTGAGTCTACAGGTAATGTGACATTTAGAATGCCGAAAGGGAGAAGAAACAAAAGGTATACTAAAAAGAGCCATGGGTACATCCAACCTATGAATGCACTAGCTGCGGTTGCTGCTATCTCAGAGAGAAGGTGACAGCAAAGGCTGTCAGCGATAGTGTTGCTGAGGCGGCGATGTTCAGATACCCGAAGCCTCCGTGATTGTTACGTGCTGTCTAAGCTGTGTGTGAAGCTGCACTATGTCCTCAGCTGAGCCATTTGCAGTGGGGTGATAAGGAATCCCTCCTGGGAGCCCTTGGAAGGATGGTGTTTCCCTGGCCGTGTTTGGATCTGCTGGTTCTGAGCCAATGCCTCCTTTCAAGTTCGTGTAAGGAGTTTCCGAGTCTACATCAATTGCTTTACCCATGGGGAAAAAAACCCTAAACTATAATAACCCCCTGCTTACTTGAGCAGCAGTAAGCTGCGATACCAGGACTGCATATAAGAAGCATTTCCAGCCCTGCTCTAACTAATTTTCAGAAGTACTGAAATTTGTATTTCTCTCTTATTTTGCATTTTAAAGTCTAAGGCTGAGAATGCTTATCAAATGTGCTCTTGGGTTGCTGTTTGGCAGGTGTTTGATGATTTCATCTTCATTTTCTTTGCCATGGAAATGGTCTTAAAGATGGTGGCCCTGGGGATCTTTGGCAAGAAGTGTTACCTTGGAGATACCTGGAACCGCCTGGATTTCTTCATCGTCATGGCTGGGTAGGTTGATATTTTCTGGGTCTATTTGTTCTGTGTTTGCTGGATTCTTGCATGGAAAAGAAATGTTTCTGAGGGAGAAGTCTCCACTTTGGTGCTAATTCAGTACATCTGTGGGGCATAGCAGTCTATGGAAGAAACAGTAGACAAGGTAGCTTAGCTCCCCAGCTGATGTGCAGCCATCTCACACAACTTCTGTAGAAGGTGTTAGTTTGTACCAGCTGAAAGTGCTTTTAAAATGTCTGGGTGGAAGAGCTTTAACCTTTACCAGAACAAATCTCGCTTCTCTGTTTCCAGCAGCAGTGTTTCAAAAGTAGGAATGTCATTTTTGTTACTCTGGGCTTTTTGTCTCTCACTGGCCTTACCCACGGTACTATTGGGACAAGTTGACATTTGAGTGTTTTTTACAACAAAGTTGCTATGGTGAAGCTCTGATTCCCCCTCTTCATGTAGGAAGTGGAAAGCCTACCAGGGTTTGCCTATTGAATCATATTAAAATGTCCATCACTGGTAGTGGTGGGCGCTTTTTCTGAATTTGTCCGTTTTCCATTAGATTGCTTTGTGGTATAGTAAAAAAAAAAAAAAGGAGGAAAAAAAAGCAGAAATAAATATGCAGTGTTGCTGTTCTCAAAGGAACGAGGAGGTAAACAGGTGAATGTCTTTTCAGTGAGAACCCCCCACTTTCCTCTTCCTTCTGACAAGGAATTACCCACATTTGCTGTCATGGAAGTGCATGTATTACTGACTGAGCCAGCAATGAGTTCAAGCTCACTTTGCAGGGTTTTCCCCTGCAGTGTGGAGCAGCACTGTCTTTATATTTGCTTTTGATACAGTTCTTCTACAGCATTCCCTTTGGAGGGGTGTGTAATTGTTTGCTTCTGGGAGGCGCAGAGATTTTCAAACTCAGCTCAGTTGTAAATTTTGGAGGCGGATTCTTAGCCAGCTTGTGCATGAAAGGAGGACAGGCAGATGAAAGCTGTTGATTTTCCTGCATTAACACAACATGTGTGAGATGGGAAGACCTTTTTCATGGCTAAGCCTGCTGTGATTACCATTTGATACAAAACGGTCTGGTGTGGAGACTGTGAGTTAAAGCACTTGACATGCAGTAGTGAGGAAAATCAGATCATTGTACTCTCTAGCCTGAGCTCCTGGTGGTACATTTGCTGGTGACATGATGCAGGGAAAACAAGATCCTACCAAAGCAGCCTTTGAAGAGGAAAGAGAAGAACAAGTGTGTTTGAAAGGGGGTTCTTGTAGCCCATGGTGTTCCACTATATGGAGGATGTGCTGCAGTATGCTGGGAGGAAGGTGCTGTTGGCACAGGAGTGCTGGTGTATGGGATAAAAATCTTGGGAACTTGGGTTTTCACACTGTCCAGTGTCCCTACAAGCCTGGTATGTGAGGGATGCTGTCTGGAGAGATGAAGAAATCAGTGGAGCAATGCTGAATGAAAGAGGGTGGGCTCAAGTGCTTGCTCCATGCAGAAAACAAGTAAAATCCATGCTACCTAGATGAGGAGGGAGTAAACCCCATTTACATGTTTCCCTCTCTTGCTGTTGCTAGCAGAAATTTGAGAAGAGAGTGTCTTTTGTGCATCTGATAGCAGTGCTAGGAAAAAAGCTCATATCTGAACTCCTTTCAATGCCAAGGAGAATTATTATCAACTCCTTAGGTATAAACTAATCAGTGTGGAGGATTTTTCATTTCAGGTCCAAGACTGAAAGAAATTTGTTTCCTGATTTCTATACAGTTGTCTTCATGAGGTGTCAGGCTGAAATGATAGTAATCTCATTAGAATATCTGATCTCAAAAGACTTCTGCTAAAGAAAGATTTTTCCATTTAGCTATATAGAACTAATGACTATATAATGTATCTCAGGTTATAAAAGCTTGTGGTTATTAGTTCATTATTCTTTGAAATTCATTAGAATTGTCTGCACTGTTTAAATCAAATCCAAGGCTCAAATTTGTCCTTACATACAGACTATAGGCTTTTATTTAGCCTCAGATTTAAGGTCCAAGGTTTATCCTGGTTGGTCCCACACCTGGATCATGGCTTCAGCTTTCTTTGGGTCCAGATGCTGTCTTAGCCTTCTGAATAAGAGAAGACATCCTGCAATAAGTCTTGCATGTTTTCTTCATGGCAGTGAGTTAGATCCTGATCAGAGGCTAATCAGTTTTCTCTAATAGACTTCTCTTCATGGTCCTGGACTCTCATTGCCAGGTCATAAATTTGGCTCTCAAGAAAACATTCATGATGTTGAGAAGTAATGTACCACCTAGAAGATGTACAGCTTCTCTCAGTCTCAGGAACAAGGACTGTACTTCCCAGACCTTTCTCTTCCCTTCTCCCTTTCCAAATAAACACCAGTGAGGCAGCAAAGGTTGGAAGAATAAGCTGTAGAGCAGAAAAACAAAGTGAAGGCAAAAAACTGTTCTGTTGGGTGTTCCTGGGCAGCTGAGATAGCTCCATCTGCTGCATGATGGCATGTTTTATCAAAGAGCATAATGACTATTTGTTGCTATTGCCCCAAACGGTGTTTTGGTTACATAAACCATGCATTCAGGCATTCATTCTCCTCACTTCCTTGGAAAGCCAGAAGCTATAGTTTTAGTTAGCTGAATTCCCTCGTGTGTCCCTGCCCTGCTTGCCCCTGCTCCCCACGCAACCCATCAGCTCAAGGAGGAAGACTCCATTGTCACTAAAAATACTCAGTTTCCATGGCAGTAGGAGCTGACATCACCAGAACTTTCTCCCCTCTCGCACACTCCCTCCCCCAACCACCTTCAACACGTTTTTTCAGAAATGAGTAGAAAAAAACCCCAAACAAGTCCTAACTCAATGCTCTCCTGCATTGCTCCCTGTGGAGCTCCTAAAACCAACTGAGGTAATTTGGGTTGAAGAATACTGATGCCCTTGTGTGCACAGACAACCAGGGCTGCAGATTCAGCTTGCTGATGCTCCAGGTCCCAACTGCTCACTGGTGACAGGAGCTTGCAGGTTCCCAGACACTTCAAGCAGACTATGCTCCTCACCAGCTGTCCTGGTGGGAGTCCCTTTGTTTGTGGTTAGGTCTTGCCTGTCGTCATGTTTCCCAAAGTGATGGGTGCATTTGGAGAGCTTGATTCAGAGGACAGCTTCCTAAAGTTGAGAGCCTACTATGTTTTGAAAGTTGAGATAATGCAAACAGTAATCATATTGGAAATGTCAGTCAGTGTCTGTATGTGCATGAATTCAGGAGAAGTCACTTATTTCTGGGCTAGCACTCATCAACTTTTTAAGCCAGGCAGTTCTCTGGCAAACAAAGAGTGAGCATTTTCTCCTGCTTGCTCTTCTCTGTGAGGCAGTTGTGTTCATATGTGGTTGGAGATGATGCCACTGTTCATCTGGTAAGGGAGATGCCCCTTTACATGACTCTGTCCAGAAGTTCCCTGTGCAGAGAGTGAATTCATGCAGTCTGCCTGGCCTTGGGGCCATCAGTTCCACTGATGAAGTGGTTGTTCTGCTTCTCTTAAGCCATGCACTGTAATTAATGATTTATAGTGGGAAATATGCCTGGTTTTGTCCTCTTCTATGGCATCCCTATGACACTTTCTGGTATACAATTTACTTGTGTAAATAGGTAGGTAAATTAAGGGGGATAGGGTTTCACTCTGTGGCTGGGGACGATAATTGTACTTACAAGTGTGTCCCCAAAATAGGTCCAAAAACTTCCCTTAACTACTCGCTGCTTGGAGTCCAGTGGCTGAGGAGAGACTGGTCTGTCTATCAGTGAATGGCCTGTCTTTGCCTCTCTCTATTACTCCACTGTTGCTTGTCATATAGATCTCGTAAGCTGTGGTCAAATCCCATCCTGAACTTGACTTTGATGAGAAGAATAGAATTATTTGTATGTTTTGGCATTTTGTGATATACTTGCAGCGTGTTTTAAAGGCTTTTTAAAAGTAGTGGACATCAGAACAGGCCAAGCACTCTTATGTAGGTGTTTCAGTGCCTTCAGTGATTATACTTTCTCAGCATTCCAGTCTGAGGTTTCCCAGTTCCTACAGCCAAGCATTGCAGTAGCCCATCTAATCAATCACAGCATCACCCTATGAGTCCATTAGGATTCTTTGTCCATTGGCTCCAGCCTTGGTTGGTTGTTTTATTTTTTCCCTTGTCTCCTTGTCGGAAGAGAGAAAATCCCTTTCTATTAGTAGGAACAGCAAACTTTGTTCCCAGATGTATGCTGTTTCGTTTGTTCACATTGGCATACAGATTATTTGCATTTCCAAAGCAGTTCATGCTGTTGTATATTGCTGACTTGTCCATTTCTTTTCTGTTCTCTCAAATATATGCTTCAACTGCAAAATCCATTGGTGATTTTTGTTTTTCTTTACTTTTCTGCCATGTTTTGATAAGTAGAAAACAGAGTGGCAAGAATTGTGCATTACAGAAGTACATCTGCTCATGAATGACTACTCATTTACTGTTGTATGTGGGGTTTATTACATTGCCAGTTTTTCTCCAGCTAATATATGTCATGATGATTTCATATCATTCCAGCCATATCAACATAATTACTTGTGTGAACCAGAGTTGTAATCTCATAAGAAATTATAGCACATTAGTTTGATGATGTCTATTTTTCCCTAAACCTGTGTTGATTATGGTTAATTTTATTATCCAACTTTAATCCGTAATCTATCAAAACTGCATATTGGCGATTTCATTACTGCACTGTGATCAGCATCAGCCCAGTCAGCCTATTGAGATCATTGTGTTTCTAAAGTACTGGCACAACATCAGAATTTCTTTGACCCTTGGATGCTTTCCCAGTTTTCTGAGACTAATCAAAAATCATCAGTACTGGTCCAGCTCTTTTCTGGCCATCTCTTTTAAAACTCTTGCACAAGAATTGTCCAGGCCTGCTTATCTTAGAATATCCGTGTTTTGATAGGAATAAATATACTTTAAATATAGCCTAAAATACTTAATAACAGCTGGAGATGAAACTACC